TAAAGTCTATTTATCCATGGACTATCTTTCTTCAAAACGTTTTAAATTATCATTCCAAACAAAAAATGTATTAGGGTCGCTGCAGTGCCATACAGGCCAATCCTTTACCCGTGGCATGGGCACCGCTTCATGTCCTGGCTGTTCCACCTCCCATCCAGCTTCCTGCTTATAGCCTGGGAAAGCAGCAGAGGACGGCCCGAGTCCTTGGGTCCCTGCACTCACATGGGAGGCCTGGAGGAAGCTCCAGGCTTTGCTCCCTGGCTCCTGGCTTTGCATCAGCCCAGCTCTGTTGCAACCATCTGGGGAGTGAACCAGTAATGGATAGAAGATCTTCTCTCCCTAGCTTTCCTTCTCTCTCTCTAAAATCTGCCTTTCACATGAAAGTAAATTTAAAAAACAAAAATGTTTGTTAAAAAAGAAATAAAACTTTTTAATGCATAGCTTCCCATTCCTGGGTCAGCCTTGAATCAAGCAAGACAGAGACCCACTGCTGTGGGCCCACCAGGAACCTGAGTCTTTTCTGAAGCCCCCAGGAGCAAGTCTTTGGGCTATTCCACATATTCTCGGCACTTTCCAAACGTGTCAGCTTTGCAACTCCCAACAAACAAACAAAAAGCATCTATAATAGTACTACGCATGAAGCGAACAAAGTCACCACTTGCACTTGTAAGACCCAAAGTACAGGCTGGAGATGCGCCTGCCGCACTCAGCGCACGCTCTGCCCCGGTCCCGCCTGGAAGCAAGCTCGCGGGGTGTGAGACAGCCACAAGTCCTGGGTGAGTCCTCTGCTGGCAGATTTCTTGTGGGAAGGAAGTGGACTGTATTTCAGAATTTGACCCCATAAAGTCAGGAAGAAACACACACTCCATCCACATACATCTCTTCTCCTAAACTCAGAGAGAACTTACTCTGGTTACTTAAGCATGCCCCAGCCACACAGCAGCGACGGCAGATTCCAGAGCTGCTTCTCTTAGCCTTGACCAGGAGGCCCGAAGAAGTGTGGTCTGGCCCTGTTCCTCCTGCAATACCGCCCTCCCAGTCTTTTATTAGGCCTAACAGTACTATATCGTTCTTTTCCTTTTCAAAGACCTTATTTTTCATTCAGCTTTCTAACATACTACCTTCACAAAGCCCTCCCTGGTCGTAGCTAATACTTTAAAAGGGGTTTTATAGGTTCTGAAGATCGTCCCGAGACACTTTGGAAAACCCAGTTTTTTGTTTTTTTTAGCCTGAGAGTGCTACCTATAGTATTACACCAATGTTATCTACTCCGCGATCCTTAATACCACTTGCAAAGAGGAGGACACCACAGTCACTCCACCAACTATGACGACGGTAGCTGGATTCCTAAGAGACTCCATCGTCAGGGCAACTTGGCACTGGAAGGTGGAGGAACCTGGTCATCAGCAGGGAGGCGGTGAACCAATCCCCAGGGGCGGTAGCAGCAGGGGGACCGGCGAGCAGGGTCCAAGCAGGGTCCAAGCAGGGTCCGAGCAGGGACAGCGCAGCTCACAGTGCGCACGCGCCGCCACGGCCTTTGTGCCCACTCGGGACCCCTGCGTGCGCGCACTCGCCGGGCGCTCGCGGCCGCGCCCCGCCCCGCCCCGGACTCACCTGCCCGCGTTCTCCGCTTCCATGCCCAGCGGCCGCTCCCGCGCGTCTGGTCCCGAGGCTACGGCGGCGTTCGCACGGCGGTACCCGAGCACCGATTGGGCCCTGATGGCCGGCTGGACACGGACAACGGCCGGTTTCCACAAGCTCCACCCCCCACCCCGCTGCTGGGCCCTGTCCGCGCACCACTTCCGTCTTCCCAGACCCAGTGACGGCCACGTGATGCAGAGCAGCCCAATCACGTTCGCGCCCCTTCTCGTGAGCCACCTGCTCCGGCGCTGGGCCTTTCGGGAAGGTGGAGGACAGCCGGCGGACGAGGGAGGAGGACGAGCCGCGCCCCGTGACGTCAGCTCTGGGCCCTACCGCACGTTTAGGGCTGGCGGGGTGCAGAGGGCCCTTCCCCGCAGTCAGCATCCTCCCTGTCCTCTCCGTCCCCCAATTCTCAGCCCGGCAAGCAGCAGCACGTCGTGTAGTCACGTCATTCAAGTGAACCGGGGATAAAGAAAGCAAAGCCTGCGACGGGGCGCCGCCCGGTGTCCCAGGCCTGTGTGGGTGATTGCTTCGTGAAATGCCAGAACACGGACCCTGCTCTGCTCTAGATACCTGGGGTTGAGATCTTTGAGGTTTGCAGCACCAGACATGGGAGCCTATCGGACACCGTCACGTCTCACACCTCCAGCGTTCTTGCAGCTGGGGTTTGTAGCATTAGCTGTTGTGGTGTTTGTATGGGACCCCCATTCGGGAATTCCGGGTGGAGACGGGCCTCTCTCAGGCTTGCAGGGTGACAAACCTGGCTGCTGGGAAAGCAATCGGCTTTCCTGAGATTATGCCATTTTCAGAGCTGTTGCCGAATCCCCTGTGGTGTACAGTAGCCGCAGTGTATTTCTCTGGCTCATTGCATGTCTGGGTGCGCCTTAGGCTGGCACTCCAGCAGTCCAAAAGGAGCATTCAGGAGAAAATAGAAAACGATTGCTTTGTATCAGATTGAAAGAACTTTTTCTATTAAAAAGTGTTTCAGGAGCTTTGTGGAATCCTGTCTATTGGATATTGCCTACAACCTGGTGTTTAGTCATGAGAAACAAACTAAAACTCAAAAGAGAAACCCCACTTGCCTATTAGAGTGGCTCACATTACAAAGGACAAAAACCAAAACACTGGAGCAGTGTGGGATGTAGCAGAACGCTCCTTCGCTGCTGCTGGGTGCGCAAATTATTACCATTGCTTTGTTAGGTAGTTTGACATTTTTACAAAAGATTTTTTTTTTTAAAGATTTATTTTCATTGGAAAGGCGGATATACAGAGAGGAGAGACAGAGAGGAAGATCTTCCGTCCCATGATTCACCCCCCAGGCGGCCGCAACGGCTGGAGCTGAGCCAATCCAAAGCCAGGAGCCTCTTCCGGGTCTCCCACGCGGGTGCAGGGTCCCAAAGCTTTGGGCTGTCCTCGACTGCTTTCCCGGGCCACAGGCAGGGAGCTGGATGGGAAGTGGAGCTGCCGGGATTAGAATCGGCGCCCATATGGGATCCTGGGCGTGCGAAGCGAGGACCTTAACCACTGTGCCATCATGCTGGGCCCTACAAAAGATGTTTTAAAAAGCTTATTGGAATGCAGAGGAAGATCTTCCACCTGTGGTTCACTCCCCAAATTACCATTCTTCTGGTATGTACCTCACAGAAATGGATTCCTGGTGCACAGAGATTTATATAGAATGCTCACACCTATAACGTGAGTAGAAATTTTATTTCTATTAGTCAACAACTGCAGCTAACTTAACGTGTCCCCCCACAGGTGAATGGTCAGAGGTACTCAACTGATGCAACACAGCCTGGAGGAATAAGCCATACAGACAAGTGCAAATGCATGGTGTGCTTCCATTTATGTAAGATCCTAAAAGCAGGCTAGGGCCCAGGCACTGTGCAAAGTCCTTGCTTTGCATGTCCTGAGATCCCATGTGGGCACCAGTTCATCCAGCCCCGCTTCCCATCCAGCTCCCTGCTTGTGGCCTGGGAAAGCAGTCGAGGACGGCCCCTAGCCTTGGGACCATGCAGCCGTGTGTGGGAGACCTGGGGGAAGCTCCTGGCTCCTGGCATTGGATCAGCTGCAGCTGTTGTGGCCACTTAGGGTGTGAACCAGCAGACAGAAGATCTTTCTGTCAAACATGACTTTCCAATAAAAATAAATCTTTATTTAAAAAATCAAATAAATGAAAATGCTAACTAATGTGATGATAGCAGCTCAGTAGTTCCCCACGAAATGTGGCAGTGTGAGGGGAGCAGACGAGCAGCACAAAGATGCTTTTAGAGTGTAGCTAGATTATCTTGACTGTGATGATGTTTTCACAGGAGCACACAATGTTTAAACGACATCAAACTGTACTGTAAATATGTGTATTGTCTGCCAAAAATAAGACTGAAAACACGAGGGAGCAGGGATTTGATCCACTGCCTTTATACCCACATCCTTCATCAGAATGCCTGGTTTGAGTCCCAGATACTGTGTTTCTGATTCCAGCTTCCATGGGAGATGACAGGAGAACAATGTCTAGCCAGCCATTGGGAGACCTGGATTGAGTGTGGGGCTCCTGGCTCCTGCCTCCCCCGACCTTGGCAGTTGCAGGCAATTGGGGAATGCGCCACTGGATGAAGATGTGTCTTTGACCCTGGTACTGGTTGCAATACTATCCTGCCATGGATGCAGCTCCCTGCTAATGTTCCCCGGAAATGTAGAAGTTGGCCACACACAAGGGAGACCTGGATGGAGCTGTAGGACCCTGGCTCAGCCCTGGCTGTTGCAGCCATTCAGCGAGGCAATCAACAGGTGGAGGATGTTCCTTCCTATCTACTTATACATCACATATACACACGTGAGTGTGTCATAACTCATACTATTCACACAACCCTAACCCTTCTTGCACTCATTTTTGCACAAAACTCAACCCACAATCAGAATCCAATCTCAAGATGCATGGGCTGCCATCATGTCGGGTTTCCTCTTTCCCGGGAGCTGCAGAGACCCAGGACTAGATGTCTGAGTGAGGCTCTGTTACAGGTGTCACAGGGCAGGTGCTACCAGGTGGTTGAGCACCGGCCTTCACAAACTACAGGGAACTTCTCAGCGCGTTTATCTCCCCAAAGGTGATCCTGAGCCCACCCCAAGTGCCCTCTGCCAGGGAAATGCAGCTCGAGGCTGGGGACGGGGCGCAGCAAATCACGGCTGGTAGAGGTGTGGGCCCCAGGCTGTCGGCGTCCCACGTCCGCCCTAGTCACGTGTCCGCGCCGCCGCCCGTGCCCCCGCCTTCCCCTCCGGCTGCACGCCCTGCACTTCCGGTTCGCCGGGACTGCAGAGCGCACTTCCGCCCGTCCTCTGACCTACCGTGTTTTCCCTGAGCAGAAGCGACGCCGAGAGCGCTTCTTCCCTTCCTAGAAGTTGAGGGAATTCGGGGACACCTTTCCGTTCCGACCTTCCGCCTGCTCCCCGAGAACCCGCCGACGGGGGGCCTGAAGTGGGGGGCCCTTCGTCCCCACATCCCCCTCGCGTGGTGTCCGAGGAGGCCGAGGTCGCGAGCCCTTCGCGCGGGGCCCCGGCTGCCCGCCATGCCCGCCGGCGTGTCGTGGCCCAGCTACCTGAAGATGTTCGCGGCCAGCCTGCTGGCCATGTGCGCGGGGGCCGAGGTGGTGCACCGGTACTACCGGCCGGACCTGGTGAGTGCGCGGGCGCCCGCGGCTCCCGGCGCGTCGGGGGTGCCCGACCTTGGGATGCGCCCCGCTGCGTTCAGAGCTGCGCCTCCTGTGGGCTGGCCCTACGCCCCACTGAGTTTTAATCCACGTCTTGCTCCCTTGGCGTGTTGACCACGAAGAGACTGTCTAGCCGCTCATTCTTGAGCGTGTGCTTGTTTCGGTTTATTTATGTTACTTGTAAGGCAAAGTTACACAAATAGGATTTGCATCCTCTGGTTCACTCCCGGTCTCCCTCGTGGGTTCAGGGGCCCACGTGGGCGTCTTGCACTGCTTTCCCAGGCCATAACTGAACTGAATGGGAATTGGAGCAGCCGGGACTCCAGCCAGCACCCATATGGGATGCTGGTGCCTCAGGCGGGAGCTTAACGTGCAACACTACAGTCTAGCCACAGTATTTTTACTTCTTACTCAGAATTCCATTCTAACGCTTTACGAGAGTGTGGTTATATTTTATTAACAGAAAGAAAAAAGAAACCCAGAGCAGGGGCTGCGTCTGGCCACAGCGTGAGGCTTTACTGAGCCTGTCCGGAGTGATCCACACCCCGCTGTCCCATCCCCGCCTCCCCAAGCCCATTTTCCCCAAAGCACCTTTGACTCCCAGGCTTCCTTGGTGCTAACTACATTCAGTTAAACTCCCATTAAATGTCTAGATTCTTTCATTGCTCACTCAGCGGTGACCATCCTGTCCTTTGGTGACACCCACAGGGGTTCCCAGCTTTGGCCTGGTCCAGCTCCTGCTATCATGGCCTTTTGGGGAGTGAAATAAGATTTCTCTCTTTCCACTCTAACTCTGCCTTTCAAGTAAGTGGAAAGGTAAATCTTTAAAAAAAAAAATTGAATGTTTAAGAAACAGAGAAGTAAAAGAACAAGAAGAAAGCCTCCCTTTCTGCAGTTTATTTCAGAGAGAAGCCCCCGTGCTCAGGTGGTGTGTAGCCACTCTTTTTGCTTGTTGACTGTGTGTGTACACACAAGTACAGCTTGTGATGCTTCCTGCACATTAAACCGGAGGTCATGTGCACATTTTTGTGCACAGATGTTTCTGTACAGTCCTCCTTGGTAATCATTGCATAGCATTTTATATGTGTGTGTGTGTTTGCATGATTTATTTATTTGAAAGGCAGAGTTACAGAGTCCTTCCATCCACTGGTTCACTCCCCTAAGGGTAGCAATGACTGGCGCTGAGCCAAGCCGAAGCCAGCTGCTTCTTGGTCTCCCACCTGGGTTCAGGGTTCCAAGGACTTGGATGCTGCTATCCAGTGGCGGAGTGCCAGTTTGCGTTGTGGCTATTCCACTTCTGATCCAGCTTCCTGCTACTATATCTTGGGAGCAGTGGAAAAAGGCCCAAGTGCTTGGCAAGAAAAATCAGTGGATGAAGGATTGCTGTGCCCCCACATGTAGCTAAATGTCAGAAGCAAATTGAAATCCATGCATAGTTTTGCGTGGTAGACATTCCCCATGAAGGTTTTTGAAGCACACTGGTAGTTCAGGCATGCATCTCCGTGAGGAATCACTGCGATTGATGAGTCTGACTGCTAATGGTGAGTGCGAGGCCTGTCTGCTGCAGGCTGTCCGGAGGGACCTGGTCAGAGTCCACAGCAGCAGGCAGGGGCTTGTCCTGCCTTCTTACTCTTTGTGACCGGCCTCAGTCTTTCGGTCACATGGAGACATTACCCAGGAACGGTGCGTGTGTTTATGTGCTGTTCTGCTGTTCGTTTCTCTTGTAGACGATCCCTGACGTTCCGCCGGAGCGTGGAGAGCTCAGAACCGAGCTCCTGGGCCTGAAGGAGAGGCAGCAGAGACGCCAGCCGTGTCAGCAGTAGAAGCTGCCTGTGCCAAGGGCGCTGGGAGGAACGCTCTCTCCTAGATCCATGGATTTTGGTTAATTTATTGAGTCAAACTGCTCGGACTTCTTGTTTTTGAGTCCCGAAACCATGCTGACCGCAAGAGAAGGTGCTTCGCAGATACAAACTGATACATTGAACTTTAATTGTAATTCAGGCAGTCATTCTTGGGAACTGCTTGGTGCTTCCTGTCAGGCTCTTGAGTGTGGTCTGGAAGATACTTCCTTGAGGAAGCTTGACTACACTGTATAATAAAAGTAATAGTGACAATGATTGCTTCTGGCATGATGTTAATATTTCACTCAATATTATAAAGTGTTATTTGTACATAACAAAATTATAACCTTTGTGACTGGGTCATACAAGAGTTCTCTATCAAATTTGAGAAATCCCCAGGATCTAAGAAACCAAATTAAAATTTGAGATTTAATTTTTTTCTATAAAATAACATTTCTCTATAAAATACACATATATTTTTAAATATTTATTTTTTTATTACAAAGTCGGATATATATATAGAGAGAGGAGAGACGAAAGTATCTTCCGTCCCATGATTCACTCCCCAAGTGACTACAAGTGGCTATGCCAATCCAAAGCCAGGGGCCAGGAGCCAGGAGCCTCTTCCGGGTCTCCCATGCAGGTGCAGGGTCCCAAGGCTTTGGGCCATCCTCGACTGCTTTCCCAAGCCACAAGCAGGGAGCTGGGTGGGAAGCGGGGCTGCCAAGATTAGAACCAGCGCCCACATGGGATCCTGGCACATTCAAGGTGAGGACTTTAGCCACTAGGCCATGGCACCAGGCCCTATAAAATATATTTCTATAAAATAAATTATAATGGATCCATTGCATGCGCTGGCATCCCATATGGTTACCAGTTTGGGAACTGGCAGCTCCACTTTCCTTCCAGCTCTCTACTTGTGGCCTGGAAAAACAGTCGAGGACAGCCCACAGTTTTGGGACCCTGCACCAATGTGGGAGACCTATAAGAAGCTCCTGGCTCCTGGCTTCAGACGGGCTCAGCTCCCATCATTCTGGCTGCTTGGGGAGTGAACCAGTGGACAAGATCTGTTTGCACTTGATCTTAGCCAAAAGGCCGAGAGGCGATGACAAGATCTTTCTGTAAATCTGATTTCCTAATTTTAAAAAAATAAATCTTTTAAGTTAATTGGGGCCTTATGCTCTGGCATCGTGGGTTAAGCTGTCGGCTGCAGTGCTGCTATCCCATATGGTTGCATGTTCAGGTACTGGTTGTTTCAGTCATACAATCAGTTTGTGCACAGTGGTTGCTCCACTTCTGATCCAACTGCCTGAGAATAAGCGTGTAAAAACAGCAGAATGTGATCCAAGTACTTGGGTCCCTGTACCCACCTGGCAGACCTAGAACAAGCTCCTGGGTATTAGCTTGGGTCTGGTCCAGGCCTGGCTGGTGGTGCCGATTGGGGAATGAGCCAGTGGACAGAAGACCTTTTCCTGTGCCTGTCTCATCCTCTCTGCCTTTCCAACTAACTAACTAAATAAATAGAATAAATAACTGACTGAAATGGACATTGTCATAAATTGAATTGTATCTACTAGAAAGACATTGAAATGCTAACCTGGAGGTTAGGTACTTGTGTGGCCTTATTTGGAAATAATTTATTTGAAAGGCAGAGATAACAGAGGTCTTCCACCCACTCCCCAAGTGATTAACACCAGCACTGGCCCACTCTGAAGCCAGGAGCTTCTTCTGGGTCTCCCATGCAGGTACAGGGCCCGGGTACTTAGGCCGACCTTCCCTACTTTTACAGGCTGTTAATAGGGAGCTGTAGAAGAGGAGCAGCTGGGGCTCAAACCGGTAACCTGCTGCCAGTGCAGCAGGCAGAGGCTTTACAGTACACCAGAGTAGAGTTCATATTTCTACTCTCCAAAGCAGAAGACAGCTGTTTTAAGCCACCTGGTTTCATTAGCACTAAAAAACCAAACATTTCAACCCTTTTCTAACTGAATTTAGGGCAAAAGTAACTTTCTGCTCAGGGCAATCGTTCCACATTACCTAAGGAAAGACTGGTGGCCCCAGCACTGGGTACATTTGGTGAATGCCTTCAGCAAAGACAGGACCCAGAGTGGCCTTGTTCAACACCACACCTCCTGCTTTCCTAGGCCACAAGCAGGGAGCTAGATCAGAAGCAGAGCAGCCAGGACTGAAACTGGTGCCCATAGGATACGCTGGGGCTGCAGACAACTGGCATGTTGTCACTGCACAGGCCCATGACCATTTTTTCAATGACTGAAATTTTCAGAGTACTGTCCATCCAGTTTGTTTTAGGGAAGAGTCCTGGAGGTGAAGTACCCTTCTCAGTCTGTTGTGGGTACATAACAGAACTTCAGCACTTCATTAAGGCAGTGTACACCAGGTTTGTCCAACTTTTTTCACGGATGATCAAGGGCCACCTCTCTGAAAGTTCCTTTGGAACTCCCCTGTACAAAACATGATCTTTGCTTAAAACAAAAGGATCGTTCGGTTTAAAAAAAGGATTTTTCACCTAAAATTTTTAAAGGCTTATTTTTATTGCAAAGTCAGATACACAGAGAGACAGAGAGGAAGATCTTCTGTCCGATGATTCACTCCCCAAGTGAGCGCAACGGCCGGAGCTGCAGCGATCCTGAGCCAGGAACTTTTCTCCAGGTCTCCCACGCGGGCGCAGGGTCCCAAGGCTTTGGGCCATCCTCGACTGCTTTCCCAAGCCACAGGCAGGGAGCTGGATGGGAAAGTGGAGCTGCCGGGATTAGAACCAGCACCCATATGGGACCCCGGCGTGTTCAAGGTGAGGACTTCAGCCGCTGCGCCAGGACATGCTCCTAGCTAGCGTCCTCTAAATGCTCTTAGTGCAGTTGCTTGAACTCCATCTTGTGCCACTGTAAGGATGTGAGCAGCAGCCAGAGGTGAAAACAACCCAGCTCCGATATGGGATCGTCCTCTTCTGGCTGAATACTCGGTCTAACTCTCCCTCCACTTCCTTTTTTTGGTGGATGGGTGAAGTTAAGAGAGCTTACATCTGCTGCGTCACCCCCTAAGTGGTCATAAATGGCTGCAGTGAGCTAATCCAAAGTAAGGAGCCAGGAGCTTTTTCAACGTCTCCAATGTGGGTGCAGATCTAAGGCCTTGGGCTGTGCTCCGATGCCTTCCCAGGCTATTAGCAGGGAGCTGGATGGGAAATGGAGCAGCAAGGACACAAGCGTGCCTATATGGAATGTTGCTGCCGTGCAGGCCCTGAATCAAGTAACTTTTTTTTTTTCAACATTCTCTTTTAAGAATAATTACAGTTCAATTTTAAAACATTTTTATTTGAAAGGTAGAGTAGCAGAGAGGTACAGCAAGATCCTTCATCTGGTAGTGTTATTCCTCAAACAACCAGGACTGGACCAGGCAAAAGCCAGGAGCCAGGGACTCAGGCTCCCACCCAGCTGTGTGACCTGCTGCCTTCCTGTGCACATCAGGAGCTGGAGGGGAAGCAGAGCGGCTGGGCTGAGCCAAACACCAATGCAGATGATCCAAGCGGCAGCCTCACACGCGTGCTCCGATGCCAGCTCAGGGTGCCAGGATTTAAAGAACATCAGCCCAGTAACACACTTGCCATGCTATGTGTTATAAAACAGAGACAAGAGACGGTGTTTGGGACCTTTTTTATTTTTTTACACATGACAAGATTTTACACCAAGAAGTCAGTTAAATAGTACAAATTTACATTCATGAGGAATGTTAAAAAAAATTAAACTAAAAAAACCCACTTTTTCCTGTGACCCAAAATCCCAACATTTTACAGTGCAGGGGAGGAGGGAGCTGGGGGAGCATCTAAAACAAGTCTCTCCCAAAAGAAATGACTTCAATTTCATATTCCCTCTCCACACAGGATCCAAATGGTGAATAGAATTTACAGTTCATCCTTTTCAGCTGTCGATTTCTGTGAAAACAAAAGTTGCAAGATGTTAAAGTCTGGCAGAAAAGCTGGCTTAAACAACATTTACTCATGAACAAAGTGCTCAGCCTATCTGCAAAGTTCAGTTGTACCTCTGAACTTCATCCTGTTGGTTTGGAGAAACAGTTTAGAACTCACAAACCAGACTAAGGGCCCTTGAACTCGGCCAACAGTGAAATGGAAAAGGCATTCTGCTCAAGCTCCCCTTTACTTGACTGAGCGTGACTTCGTGGCTTCTCCAGGGGACACAGTGCTAACCCCGTGGGAAGCACCGAGCAAGGCCCGCCCTGCCCTGCGTACCTCTGTTGGTTCCTGTTCCTCTTCATCCGCCCCTGCATCCACCTCTTCCTCCTCGTCTTGCTCGGTGTCCTCCGTGGTGTCCTCCGCGGCGTCTTCAGGTTCCTCGGGTTCTTCTTCCACCTAGGAGCAGTTAGCAGCGTCAGCGCCCTGAGCCGTTTTCAGTTTGCTCGTTTGAATGCCTGAGCTCATATGTTCACACTGGTCAGTGAACAGGCAAGCCAATGAGGGCAGGCAGGCAAAAGCACAGAACAGACCAGAGGGGAAATTGTTCATTAATTCCTAGGTGAGGGCCTGCCACTATGGGGATGCAAACATTATTTTCAAGAGTCTGTCAGGTAAATGTCTTATCAGTCGTGAGCGGCTGATTGAGGAGGGAAACACAGGCCAGCCAGCCAGCACACGGACAAGGCCTGGGGCACAAACCTTGGCATCAGGGTCAATGTTCAAACTGAGCCGAAGCATTCTTTCTATCCTATCTCCGTAGGCCTTAGTGTCCGGTAACAAATATCCTGACCGAAGTGTCGCCGTCTCAAATAAAACCACAGCGAGATCCAAAACCGTCTTGTCATCTTCATCTTCCTGAAATGGAAAAAAGCCTTCCTTAAAAGTCCCAAGTACCCTCCCTGGAAGGCCAGCCACGGGCGGGCGCACAGCACCTTAACTCGCCGGAGCATGTCTCTGATGAGTGGATGCCTGGGGTTGATTTCAAACGTCTTCTTCTGACTGGCGTAGTAACTGTGAAGTGAGAACGACCATCAGTGCGGCTCCTCCAACCGCACGGCCCCCCCTCCCCTCCTCAGCAGGGATCCCTGCCGCGAGGTGGCATGCGACCGTGTGGATGAGTATACGCGCAGTTTTAGAATCACAGCAACAGGTACTACACCTGGGATAAAGGGTTTTAAAAACGGGGGTTCTACTGAAGTTAGGCCTTGGGAAAACCGATACTAAGTAGCAAGTAAAGATATTTCAGATGAAAGAAAAACATGATAGAAGTCATTTTAAGGCCACTGCTGTGCCACATATAAACCTGAAACATTCCATTTCCTGAAAATGAGTACCAAAGACTCGCTGTACTTCCAGTACTTGGTCATTTGAAAGGCAGAGAAGCAGACTTGTCTGTGGCTCACTTCCCCATGCCTGCAACTGCAAGGGCTGACCCAGGCGGAAGCCAGGAGCCTGAAACTCAGGGTAGGCCTCCCACATGAAAAGCAGGGTCTGGATTCAAAGAGGAGCTGGGATTTGAACCTGGACAGTGATATGGGAGGTGGGTCTCCCACACTGTGTCTTACCCACTGTGTAAAACACCTTTTATTCATTTGAGAGAGTAAGTTCTTACTTAGTTTCTCCCAATGATCTCGGTGGCTGGGACAAAGCCAGGTGGCAAAAATTCAGCCAAGGTCTCACACCTGTGGCTGTCAATTACGGAGCTGTCGCTGCGGCCTGTCAGGGTCTGCATTAGCAGGAGGTGGCAGCTAGAGCAGAGGTGGGAAGCAAACCCAGGGCCTCTGAGGGAAGGCGGGCTGTCTTACTGTGAGGCTGTAAAAGCCTGCCACTGGCTTATCTTTTATTTCAATTTTCCCAGGAATTTTTGGATGCCCCTCCATACTTACTTAGTGGATAAAAAAATTTGCATCTGAATATACAATAAAGTTATAGGCTAAAGACCAATCAATCTAATGTACAAATCTCCTTTGGGACCAGGGTTGTGGCACAGCACATAAAGCTAACAGCTCTGACACCTGCATCCCATATGGTACTGGTACCAGTCCTGGCTGCTCCACTTCTGATTGAACTCCTGTCTTTGGCCCAGCACAGCCTTCAACTGTTGCAGCCATATTTAGGGAGTGAGCCAACACTCAGCAGAATCCCTCTGCAAGCTTCAGTGTCTACACATGCTTGCTGCTGCAGGGCCAGCACCTGGTAGGGACCCCGGGAGGGCTTCTTACTTTGTGGAGATGTCCTTGCCCGTCTGGTAGGCCTGGGCTTTCATGATCCGTTCCATGTTCCCGGACCACCCGTACTGGCTGGCCACCAGTGCGCAAGGAGACTCTGTCAGGCGCTGGGACACCACAGCCTTTTCAATCTTAAGAAACAAAAAATGAGGTTATCAACAGGAAGGTCATTCCAAAACTGCATTTTAGCCTTCTAAGCCCCCACTTAGGATCACAAGCAGGAGACAGTCACAAACAGAGCTTTCGCTCAGGGTTACAGATTCTTGAAATACTGTCATTCAATCACTGCAGTGTTTCATCAGAAATACTTTAATAACACTATTAGAAACAGAAAACTATTATATAATGTAAAAGCTTAGAAATCATAAAAGCAGTATTAAACTATAGAAAATGCTTCAAAGTTTCAAATTCCTCCTAATAGTTACATTATTAAATGTTCCTCACAATTTTTAAGGGTTACAGAGTAACTACTTGCAGTTCCAACAGTTGACTGAGTGGCCCGCCATTCCCAGCGTGTCCCGCCCAGGAGCATACCTTGTCCTTGAGGGCTTTGTCCTTCATCCAGTTGAGCAGAGGCTCAAATTCCTTCTCAGTGGCCTCACGATTCTCTTTTGTTTTCTCACTTTCGTCAAACTTCACCCCTTCCTTGGCCACATTCTGAAACCTCTTCCCATCAAACTCGGGGAGGGCCTGAATGCAGTATTCATCCACAGGTTCTGTGAGGTAAATGACTTCATAGCCCTTTTTCAGAAGTCGTTCAACAAATGGAGAAGACTCGGCCTGCAGGATGAAGGGAGGAGACTCGGTTCTACAGGTCTGGCTGTGGCCTCCTTAGTCACAGCATTGCTGTGTAGCCAATGTTAAGCCCACCTTACATGTGACTGGCCAGGCCTCTTAATTACCTAGTTGCACAAATTTTAACTTTTCCTTTCTTTCTCAGAAGCTGGCTAGAAATCCTTAGCTGCACATCAAGGTCCCCGGAACATTGGGAAAGTCCACCCTACCTCTTTCCTGCTGGCCCCAGCCATGAAGTAGATCTTGTCCTGTTTTTCCTTCATTCTTTCCACATACTGGTCAAGACTAGTAATATCAGTTGGGTGATGGGAAGACTGAAATCGGAGCAGCTTAGCAAGACGTGTGCGATTAGAATGGTCTTCAATAACACCAAGCTTGATGTTTGTACCGAATTCCTTCCAGAAAGTGTCGTTGTATTTCTCATCAGCAATTTTCTTGATCATGTCCAGAGTTTTACGGACAAGCTTCTTCCGAATCACCTACACAAAATTATAAGAATCATCTCTTAGAGAAGCCCATGTAAAACCCGAGGATGTAAGGTACTATGGGAACTGTGGTGAGTCAATAGCACTGTCACAGCTATTCATTGGGAAGGGAACAGGACATGCTCCTATGTTGACTGAGCTCAAACTGTCGGTGGCAACAGGCCCAAGATCACCTGAATGTCCAGTCTAACTTCAGAACTCACTGACACGATCTTTCAAGGATCTACATAAAGTGAATGGGCTACTTTCAAATGTAGGAACCTGAGAATCTTGTAATTATGCAAGTACCGGGGTGGGAGAGGTTGTTTAAAGGAAAGATTTAACAACTGGATGGTTTATGGGGGAAAGCTGGGATGACGAAACATTCCCCAAGGACCAGGCAGTGGGTGCACACAGCTCATCACTCGGCGATTCGTTCCACTCTTCTGTGTTTGATATTTTATGAATTGCCAGGCAAAGCTGGGGGAAACCTAACAGGTTCTCAGGATCTGATGAGGAAAGAGGAAAGGAACTCTATTTCTCAATAAAGCTGGAGCTGGACTCAGAACTGGGTTACTCCACTCATGGGCCTGTCCCGAACCCACACCAGAGCAGTGGCCAGTGGCCTCAGTGCTCACCTTGAGCAGCTTATGCTGCTGAAGAGTTTCACGGGAAACGTTCAAGGGTAGGTCATCTGAGTCCACCTTAAGACAGAAGAAAGGTCACTGAACATCGATGGTACTGAGAAGAGCAAAGCCAGACAAAACCCAAGCCTGCCAGTCCCGGCCCCCAGTTCTCAGCTACTTACAACACCCTTGACAAAATTCAGGTACTTGGGCATCATGTCATGGAAGTCGTCCGTGATGAAAACTCGGCGCACATAGAGCTACACAGAGATCACACAAATGTCACTTTCTGGCACAGGAAAAATGCAGAAACTGCATTTTCAAATTTTAAGCTCACTGCATGCTACTTAAGACCCACCTTAATGTAATCACTCTTCTTAGATCCATATTCGTCAAACAGACCACGTGGAGCAGATGTGGGCACAAATAAAATGGATTTGAAGGTAACTTCCCCTTCAGCAGTAAAGTGGATATAGGCCATGGGGTCATCACTTTCCTATGAAAAATTCATCTTTTAGACAAAAGCAATGCAAAGGCTAAGCAATCTAGTACACCGTACAAATTCAGCTTACTTAGTGTTTAATGCAGCAAGGTTTCCTCACCAAGAGCTGGGATGCTAGCCTGGAGAGAAGAAATGATCAAGACCGCCATTCCAGCTAGCCTGATACAGTTAAGGATGACTCTCAGTGTCTCCTAAACCCAGGGAGGGAAGGGCTAAACTAGCTTTCCCAAGTGTGTGAGAACAGGACAGGACAACCGTCACCCCTCAAGGGCACAATGTTGAAGAACCACACAAAGTGCGTAAGGACAGAGCTCTCCCACATAGTGTGGTCTCTAGCAGAGAATATCAGGAGGCATGTGTGAGATGTCCTAAGTCTGCACTATCCATTACTAGACCCATGCATGGCCACTAAGCACCTGACATGTGGCTATTCTGAACTGATATGTGTTAAGGTATAGTACAAATAAAACCAGTAAGAATTTAAAATGTCTCATTAATTTTCTTACACTAACTATATTCTGAAATATTACTTTGAGGGTTAAGTTCTTATAGCTGTCTTACCTGAAAAGTTTACATATAGGACATTATTACTCATAAATATACAAGTACAGACAGAACAAGGGAAAATTTCAAGAGTTGAAACAAATAAAACCAAAAAACAAACAAACCCCCAAAATTAAGGTATGGAATAAAGAATAACATTAGGAACTAGTTTTATCTAGTTCTCTGAAATCCATTACAGGATTCTGTTATTAGCATAAAATGCCATATAGGCAGTCATGTAATATCAATGCTAGCTTTAGATTAAGAGTCTCAATATATTTAGTAACTGGGCCCATGTTCTCACAATGAATGTTGCAGACTATAAACAAGCTGCTTAAACACTACATTAGAAAGGCACATGGTAGCATGAGTGCAGGGCTTGTGGGCAATAGAATGGAAACCAAGCACTCAGCTTCTGCAGGCAGTACTTAATCCTGTTAACATACGTCACTTCAGTTCTCAGAATAACTTAAGAAATGTTTAAAATACATATGAAACTGTTTCAAAACATCTCTTACTAGCACATTGAGAGCTAGTATTGATTCTCATAATCTCAAGTTAAAAAAAAAAAAAGAAAAGTATCAGGCAGAGACAATGACCGACCGATCTTCCAGTCCTCAGAGGTCTGACAGCCAAAGCCAGCAGCTTTAGCTGAAATCTCTTAGCGGATGGCAGGGTCCCAGGTGGCACTGGAGCCACAACCGAGCCTTCCAATGTGAACAAGAGCAGCAAGCCAGGGCTGGGAGTGGAGCTGGCTCTACCACATGCAAGGAGCCTCCCAAGCTGCATCCTGTCCCTGCACCACACACCTGGCTCCCTGCGGGATTCAGAAGCAGGAATCAGCAAAAACTTCGGTGTCTTTAAAAAGCAATTACTGTCAGAGACTGTCTCTGGTTCGATACTAATCTCAAAGGCTCATGTAAAATTTAAATGTAATTTTACTTGCAACTAAGTGGGCAAGTTATATCTTTCGAGTGAGAAGTACTAACTCATCTATACTCCTGGAGACATATTCTAATTGGCCTAAAAGTTTTGCTAAATCTTTTCAATGGAAAAAATGGGGAGACTACCTCATCTATGGTCATATCATATTCAACAAAACTATTACAGTAATCATTTTGTTTACTCACCAATACTCTGAGGTTAGGAAATTTTAAATATTTACCTTTGAAAATGATTTGTAGAAAGCTTTGTATTCATCTTCTTCTACTTCTTTTGATGGTCTCTGCCATATTGGTTTGATATCATTCATAAGTTCCCAATCCCAGACTGTCTTTTCAACCTGAAGTTACAGCATTTGATTAGGCTCTCAGCACTCATGAGTAGTTACTGCAGCACAAACCACAGCTTCAGCAGATTGCAACACAATATACAGAGCACAAAAGGTATCTGTTACCTGGGAATGCTCCAACCAGATGGACCAGAGTGAATTCACCATTTAATGTACATTTTTTAACATTTATCACCAGTACTTATTCTGCTACCTGATTAATCTCCATAAATAAAAGCACCAAAGGTCCACAAAGAATTTTAGGATTTTAAAAAATTCAGAATATACCAGCCTCTGGCAAAACAGAGGTCTGAAAGCTTTCTCATGAAAGGCGGCCATGGTGTGACAGCTGGGCCACCTGGGCAAGGGGCACTCAGAGCACAGGAGTCTGTACTTGGCTTTGGATGTATTCCAACCCACACTTCAAGCAGCAAGATGAACCACTTACCTTTTTGGTTTTTGGTTTCTTCTCTTCTTCCTCTTCTTCTACCGCAGCCTCATCGTCCGATTCTTCCTTCTCCTCTTTTGCTGCTTCCTCTTCCTCTACGGGCTCCTCAACTGTTTCGGTCTGTTGAATTTTAGTTAAATACATTTGTTTAATAAATCTGTCTATTGCTTATGAAACAACTTAACACTTAAAAATGTCTTTAGGAGACCCGGAAAGGATCCTTAACTGAAATAACCACATTCACCCTTCATGTAATGTTACAAATCTACCTGCACTACTGTGGCACATATTACCAGGACGCCCGTACCTTGCTGCTCCACACATAAATAGGGAAGTTTATGAACTGTGAGTATTTCTTGACAAGATTTTTAATTGTATCCAATTCAAGGTAATCGGATGCTTCTTCCTTTAAGACAAGGCTGCAACAGGAAAACAGAGAAAGACACCCAAAGTTTAGATGGTTGAATTATAAATTCATCTAAATGTCTTGATGATAATGACAACTATGAACAGTTCTGGGCAATCTAAGATGGCCCCATTATTGCCGCCAAGAACTCTGCTTCACCAGTGAGGAGGGGCTGAGAGTTAAATATCAAACATTTCAGGGCATGGGAGAGAGAAGACTCCTGCATCTCAATGGACAGCATCCTTAGCTTCAACTAGAAAATAAAACTTCCCAATCTTTGGAGTGACGTTTTTTGTTTTTTGTTTTTCAAGGTAAGAAAGCACTGAAACATTATGATTAAAAAAATGGAATTAATTCAACTCTCATGGCTACATAATCATGATATACCCATCTCTTAATTTCTAATTAATACCTAGTCTTAAAAAAAAACCTAATCTGATTACCCACATCTCACTGTCTGCAAAATGCCAGCCTGAAGTCCCAGGCTGCGTCCCTTCTGGAGAGCGCTGCCACCGGACGGAAAGCTCTACTGCCGGGCAGTGGTGGCTGGATCACTCCACACTGAACTGCAGCACCGCTTTCTCTTTCTTAGTACCCCTCCTGTAAACCCTCCTCCACCCAAAAACAGTGTCAGCCCAGCAGCCTATCCTGGTATCTGGCTGTCCGCAAGGACAGGAGGTGGTACACCCAGGCTTCTGCCTCAGAGCCTTACAATGCAGTGGCCCCTGCCACCGGTCTAGTGCTGTGACTGGGTCTCTGCTCTCAGAACACGCACAAGTCCCAGAGACAGGTGATGGTCAAGGAGTTCGCTTTAGACGCAAACAGAAGTAGTTGGTTGAACATCTTGGGCAGGAGCCCAAAGTGAGATGGAGACAAATTACATCTGCTACCCAGAGTGTGATCTCAGTCTATGGATGCTTTCGATCCAGGAACTGTGCATGTGACAGACCACATACATTCATACATGTTCACACACACTCACACAAGCTTAAAATTGAGAAAACCACTAGGCTTACCAGCAAGATTCACTAACTTATTTCAACGGGGAGGAAGTTCCAGTCACCATAACCAGGAGACAGCAGCAGGCGCAGTGTTAGCACACACAACCACTGGCATCAGCAATGTGCCGCTGAGGCTGCTGTGTAGCGTACTCAGAACCATTAGGCCTAACAAGGTTGCATCCCTACCAACAGGCTGGTTTCTTGTCATTACTCCCTGAACAGTACAGTGTGACAACACAGCACTCACATCCAGTTAAGCATTCCAAACAACCCAGAGACAGATCTGATGTATACAGAATGTTAAATGCAAATGGGTTCAATGCAGCGTTCACCACTTCCTGTGAGGGCCTGCACATCTGCAGATTTCGGTATTGGTTCTGAAAGCAGGGCCCTGTGGATACCAGAGGCCTTCTGTCAAGCAGCTCCACTGTGAGTGGGGGTGGGGTGTCTCCCAGTGTCGGACAGGACATGGTGGTACTGCCTGCTTTCCTCCCCACTCCCCTCTCTCCACTCTGGCATGTTGACTGACAAGACAGAGGCATGAGGAGAAAATCTGCAAAAAGTTATGGAGAAGATATACTATGAAAAACCATGCAACTTAACTATCTTTTAACTACACTGTCTTGAACTTGCTGATACTGTGAAATCCATCTGCTAGCCAAGTGTTAGGTTCTAGAAATGGAGCTACCAACAAAACATTTGCTCTCAAGTTTGACAGCCAAAGATCCCTGCATAGCAACCGCTCCCGGGCTAACCACCTGCTACCTCCAGCAAACGGCTCTCCTCACATCTTAGACCCACGGGGCAGCGGGGTTTCGGTCCTCATGATGCCTCCTGAGCCCTGGAGATGTGGATATTAGCAACAAATGCAGGGAAAAGTAAATGGTAAACAGGTAACACCAGGCTAGTGAAATACTACAATGCAGCTCTCCAATTCATGCTTGCTGAAAGAGGATGACAATCAAGAAACAAAATGCTACCTTCTGTGATGAAGAAATATGATCAAAATGGTAGTTATGCTTTCCTAGGGGAAGACATTTTTAAAAAGTCTAACTGTTGAGACAATTTGAAATTCAGAGAAAGAGAATTAAAGTTGTTTGCACATTCTCTTACACCCATCAGGACTGGGACAGCCAACTGATCTCTGAAATGGAATTGCTTCCCTTCAAAACTGTGGAAAATATTTGTAAAACATACAAAAAAGCTACCCTGGATACTTCAGTACTCTGAGTAAAAAATAAGTTACTGTGAGGAATAAGATCTAGTGTTTGATGTTTACAAACTGATGTTATTGGCTTAAGAGGAAATCCAATCCGAATTTAAGAAATTACTCTCCAATTGAGACACTTTCCTCCATAGACCTTCCATAACTTCCATTCAGCCCTTTTATTTCTACCTGCTCTTCCTAAGCTGGTTAAACCATGGACTTAAACCCAGAGTTCCCACCTCCCATCTCCTTGGGAATCAGAAACCACCCCCCATGGAGACTTCTTCCCTGCCCCACAGCCCCTCAAGGCCTTGTATTCCCTGGAGCTGCACACGCCCTCCTCCCTGCAAGAGGCCTCCTTTGCCCTTTTCCCAAGCAAAGCTGGGGTTTCCTACTTCACCCTCAGAACTTTTTCTTCAGGTGACGAGAACAGTTCAGACTCCTCATTTTATAGGCAAAGGACTTCAGGCCTATAACCTATTATTTCTTCACAGTGCCAGACCTGGAGAACCCAGTCCCTTACTCTACTCCCCATTAATTCTAACTAGAGATCTGGAATACTCACGTAATTGTCGTTCCCCGTCCTAAAGTGTTTCCTCTTGGGTCAGCAATTACAGAAAATTCATTGGAGTCAGACTCCCAGATGTGCTGGGTATCATTGTTGTGTTTTGATGTGACTATAACTTTATCTGCCACAAGGAAGGCAGAATAGAAACCAACACCAAACTGGCCGATCAATTCTGACGTTGACTGGCCATCTTCCTGTGCCTCGGTCATTTTGTTCAAAAATTCACTTGTGCCAGACTTGGCGATGGTCCCAAGGTTCTTAACCAACTCTTCCCTGGTCATCCCCACACCAGTGTCTGTGACATGCAGCAGGTTCTTCTCCTTGTCACACTACAAGGAAGATGAGCAGCAGTTATCACATCGCACCTTGCAAATACTGAGCTATGGGTCACCTTGATTTCAATATGGGTACCTCAAGTATTTTCCTCTACTGGGTTTTTCTGTATCATAAAGTACAAGCATCTTTCTTCACAGAGCATGTTTATAAGGTCAGCACATCTGAAATGACACTGCAATGCCTCCTGCAGTTGGAACCTGCGATGTTCATGAGCATTCACTATTGGGTTTCTGCCATCCAGGAACAGGACTTTCTTCGGCCTTTCGCAGGTGGGGAAGCCAGGTGAGCAGTTTGGGCCACCAAGCGCAGCCATAAGAGCAGTGCTGAGGCGAGCTGCCTGCAACTGGCAGGATGCCCTTGGAACTGCCCGCGCTGTGGCAGCCAGGCAGTCTCCAGATGGCTGCTCAGTTGGCCTGTGCCCGGGAGCCAGCACGAGGCCAAGCAAAGGCCACAGGCGGCCTGTGGATCAATGGCTGGGGGCAGAAGCTGTTCTGTAAAGAGCCAGATTGTAAACACTGTAGGCGCTGTGAGTCCTATGATCTGCCACTGTGCACTAGGGGCACCAGGTGGGCATCCGCCACAGCATTAGGCCGCGTGTGTCTCATGGCGCAGACACTGGGTCTGGTGCCTGGTTCTGCTCCTGGCTCCCCTCAGCTTTGGGAGTATCACCAATGTCCCTTAGGACTGGGCTCCTGTCACCGACGTGGGAGAACCGACAGCAAACAGCATCTCTAACGGGAAAAAGCTAAGCCCAAACCACTTCTGAATAATGAACAAGACTGTGCTCCGAGTCAACCGCGGGTCCACAGGTCACAGTCTGCTGCCCCCGAGACCTGGGGCTTCCTAGTCAGTGCAGCACAATCTGAATGACAGGGAGGCCCTGCTTTGAAGGATTCTTCAGAAAAACCGCTCGAGCTTACCTTAATTTTGACTGTTAATTCCTCATTTCCAGAAAGAGCCTGTTCATCCGTCAGTGATATTAGTCTTATTTTGTCTAAAGCATCTGAAGCATTTGAAATCAGTTCTCTCAGGAAAATCTGAACAGAAGCCAGATGTGATGGTCACATTAGATAACGCAAGACACTGAACTCCATGTCTAACCCCTTCTCTGTGCTTCCCTCCGCAAGGAGCACGGCTTCTTCCAGTGGCTGTGCCCACTTGGCAAAAGCAATCTGGGAGCACTCAGGCTGGAAGGGCCCCGAAATGGGAACAACACCAACACCGCACGCCTGCCTTTCTAGTCTGTTGCGTGAAGCTTAACTTCTCAAAAGCTACCTAAAGCTACCTAGCAGGCCACAACCCTGCTTGCAGGGGAAGGGCAAACATGCCCAATCCCCAGGCAGGCAGCAACCATTTTTGCACGTGCTGGTACTTCAATTTCATTCTTTACTTGAGATTACAGCCAACTAGATTTTTTGGCTACAAAAGCAAACAAGTATGCCACACTAAGAAAACAAAACATCACCCAAGCCACATGTTGCTTACCTCTTTATTTTTGTACAATGAATTGATGATAAGTTTCATCATCCTGTTAACTTCAGCTTGGAAGGCAAACTTTTCAGATTTCTCTCTAAGTTCTCTTATTTGCGATGCATTTAATCCATCCAACTGAATAGCTTCTTCCTCTCTAAGGCAATCAGTTAGATAAGCAATTATTACACTGCTTAGCATCTTTCACACACACAAGCTCTCACGGAGCACCAGTGACCTCTGAACGTTGTCTGGAGGGTTAAAAGGGTAAAACGAAGCCTCCAGAGGCGACTATTAATTGTACCCTCATAGGTTACCTTAAGTTCTTAAATTGCTCAACTTGACTAAATAAAAACAAGGGCATACCCACAGTGCTGCACAGCAAGGACTTAAGGCCAAATCCGAGCACATTGCTCAACTGACAGAAATCTCATCTTGCAAACTACGAAGTGCACACCCTTAGTGACTACAGAGCCAACGATGCCTTCTCTAAGGTAGTTTTTGGTGCTGGCGTCCCGCAATGCAATTAGCAAACGGTTTTGAAAGGAAGGTACTCCATGTGGAACTTCAGATACACTCAGATAAACGCACTAAGCCCTGTTACTTGTAAACATTTTCCTGACTTCAACCCCGGGCATCAGCGTGGTCCGCGCAGCTTCACGGGGACACACACCTCTGTACCACTTCATCATCCGTCCTCGAGCCTTCTCGGCTTTTCCCGAGGTCCTCCTCCACGGTGCCGTCCACATCGACCTCATCGTCGGCTCGGACCGACCCTGGGGGAAGAGCGAACACCACAACCCTCGACGGCCGCCTCCCCTGCGCCGGAGCGGGGCGAGCCGAGGCCGGGCCTTGCCCAACGCGCACGGCCCACGGGGAGCTGGCCACGCACGACGGGCTCGATGCGTGCAGATGCCCAGTGTGAGTCCGAGGCAGCGCACTGCTAAGGGCGGAGGCCCCCCAACGCGGGCTGGGGGTCTTCCCCAGAAGGCGACCCCAGCCCCTACGGCAGCGTCCCTGCTCCTCCACCGCACGTGTTGCGCGCCGCCGGCCAGAGCGTCCAAACTGACCGAGGCCCCAACTCGGGCCCGCCCGCTCTCCCGGGTCAACAGACAACACAGGACTTGGGGTGCGACCTCCGGCGAGGGACCCGGGAAGGGCAAGCGGGCGCTAAAGACTGCGGCCCGGGCCAAAGCGCAGGAAAATGCTGACCCCGCCATTCCCCTGGCCCCGGCATCGCAGCACGGAAACGCGCACGCCCCGGTGCGGGGCAAGATCGTGGCGGTCGCGGGGGACCAAAGTCCTTCCCGAGGGGCACGCGGCGCTCTCGGGGGAGCCCGAGGCCCCGCCCAGGGTGCGGGGTGGCCCCCGCCAACCCACCGGCTCTGCCAGGGCCCATTCAGAAAAGGCAACAGAATCACCCTAATCCCCTGAAGCCTCTTTCGAGGAAAGGCTCGGCCGGGCCCCCCGCAAGCCCTGGTAGCCCCCTCCCTCTCTCAACGCTCCCGGAACCTTCGAGAAGCGGCCGCGCTGGAGGCGGCGGCGGCGGCCGTCCGCTCGCCCAGGCTCACTCACCGAAGGTCAGCAGGACGCAGCAGAGGCCCAGCACCCAGAGGGCCTTCATGGCGCGCGGCCGGTGAGTCTCCGGTCCCTTTTGATCGCAGGAGCCGCCTCCGCCCCCCCAACCCGGGCTCGGAACCTCACACCTGAAGCCGCGCGGTCCGCCCACTACACCCCCGAGCAGGTCGGGCCGCTTTTCTCCCCCGGTGCTCGCGGGCGGGGGACGGGAAACACGAATCCGCCAATCGCGCCGCACCACGCACCCCCGGCATCCAATGGGGGCCCGCGGGGGGGACCGCAGCTGGCCAATAAGAGTTGTCCAGGTGCGGTGCCCAATGCCCGAAGCGTGGCTCCCTTCGATTGGGCAAGGGCAGCAGCTTTTGTCCAATCAAAGACCTCCGCGGGCCCCTCGCACGCGGAGCCGCCCCTTTGCCTGAGGAGCCTCGCAGCCAAAGGAAACTGTCCAATGAACGTAAGCGCACCGCACGTCCGTCCTTTTGGAGGGGTCGCGGCCGGAACACTTCCGGATCCTAGAGAGCGTGGAGTCCGTGACCAGGGGAAACGGTCGCCATGACAACGCGCTCTTCGCAGTTTCTCCCCACTAAATCAAAGGTCTCCAGGGCAGCTATTCCAGCTCGGCTTCAAAGTCACCTTTCTATTTGGCAGTGCTTCTCGGAAAAAGAAATAAACGTGAGAGGCTGACAACTCCTCAGCCGTTTCGGATGTGGCGATCTGGTGATGGGAAACTACATTTCCCAGCATTCCACACACCAGCGGAAAGCAGTGTATTGAATGCTGGGAATCGTAGTCTCTGGGTTCCAAGGTAGCGGCTTAGTTTGGTTCTTGGACATACGCTGAAACTGTCTCCCGCGTGTCTTAGAATTCACTTCTTGTTCTGACTGCACTAGAGATGCGTGCCCACTCCGGGACCCTGCAGCGCCCGCCGCGTTTCCCAGCAGGCTTGGCCAAGGCGGCCTGGGGGAGTTGGGGGTCCCCCGCCTCCGGCTGGGGAACAATCGTTTCCGAATCTGGCCCTTGGTGCGTCACGCGGGCTCCCCGAGGCGTCCTCGCTCTGTCCTGCGAGCGTCTCGCAGCCGCAATACTCAACGCCTCGCTGACTGGGTTTAGGGAAGAGAGTACTGTGAGTTTTCCCCCTTTTCTCATGAGGGGAATTTTCAGCGAGGCTCGTGCCCTCGGCTGCCCCCGCCAAGTGCACCGTCGCTGTGACCCGGGCATCCCCCAGTGCTCGCGTTTCTAAGATTTGGGGAGCGTGGCGGTCGTGTCTGGTTTTGCATAGACAAGTAAAACTCTGAGTGTAGCTAGGGCAGGAGGATACACCTGCAAGTATTGGAAAGCAAAGGCCTTTCAAATGAGAACAAGGTAGCAGCTTTGTCACTTCATAGAAATGCGCCCGCTGCCCTCAGTACGACTGCTTGGGAAGTCCCTCGCCCTCAGCTGATGCTTTTTGGAAATCTGTACTTGCCATAACTTGGTGTTCACACTCCGGCTTCCTCACCCGCGACCCCTTGCGTCATACCCCACACTGTCTTCCTTATTCTCGCCTCCAGCAAAAAAAAAAAAAAAAAAAAGACTAATGTCTGAGGCCATCATCAGGCTTTTCAGTGCGCTGTCGCGGTCTCCTTTGGTTAGGTTGCCGGTCTTGACTCTGGTTGACCTGTGTGTGAGATGGTGCTCATTCCCAGCTGGCCGATTTACCCGCAGGAGGTACTAGAAGCAATGGTAGCTTGCAAAGCAGGCTCTCTGCCCGTGCCTGCTTTTTTTGTTTTGAGATACACGAGGGTGTTCATTCAGCAATCTCAAGTGCATTTTGGTGTGTTTTCCCAATTTTTTCAGTGTGTTTTCAAGCCAGATGAGATCTTCCACCCTCCTGCGTTTCACAGCTCAACTCTTAGCTGCGGATTCTGAAAATGCAGAAGCCGCTGAATGGTCAAAAGGGGGTGGGCCGCGCTGCACCTGGCGGGAACTGAGACTCAGCCTGCCCCCCACCCCCACCCCGAAAGAGCCACCAGGTTTGCCCTGATTCCCCTGCAGCCTCTGGCAGAGGCCCCAGGCCAGGGGCTGGCAGGGCATGGCTGGCCAACATACAAGGCAGTGCTGCCCCTAATATGAGTCTCTCTCTCTCTCTTTCTCTCTCTCTCTCTCTTTCTCTCTCTCTCTCTCTCTCTCTCTCTCTCTCTCTCTCTCTCTCTCTCTCTCTCTCTCCTCCTCCTGTAGGTTTTTCACCCCTTCTGACCCGCAGTTCTAGCGCAGCTCCCCTAGAGCTGACCCTACCGGTGATTCTTCAGCTCTCCACTGTGGGATCTGATTCTTTTGATTCTTCACTTTGCTCTTTGCATTTCCATGGCTACGTTTGTCTTTCATTGCTAAGCTTCCTCTAAGCCCAGCTGGCTGCACTAGGCGGTACCCTACCTCAGGTGCAGGCTTGCAGGGAAAGGCCAGACAAGCCGGCTGATACAGTCAGTGGTGACCTAGCTCTCCTGAGAGGCAGGTGAGGCTCAGCAGGCTGGCTTGAGCACTGGGGAGTTCAGGGAGCGGGAGGGGAATGGCTGCGTGGGTTAGTTTGTTCGTTCAAGCCTTCTCTTCCTCATTAAGCAGATGTGGAGGACCTGGTATCCGGGAAGCTCAGGGCTGAGCGTCAGAGCGCTGTCTGTTCTCATGGAACTTGAACAGATATTGTCAGTGAGCTTGCTGCTCAAGTGCAAATTTGTTATTTGAACTGAAGTAACGATGGGAAAGATGGTAAAGGGGCACCCTGGACATTTCTGGGGTGGTGGAGATGCCCTTGATATTGACGGTGACTGAAACTCATCAATGTTTAAAAGGGGCACGCATTGTATAAATTTATGAACAAAACCTCAATTAAAAGTATCAACTCTGAACAAACAGCAAAGCACTGAGACCCGCTGAGTAAGGACCAGGAATGCGACAGAGATGCCCACCGCGACAGTGCTGACCCGCGTGCGTTAGAACAGCGAGACCGGAAGTGAAGTCTTTGGCATCAGTTACAGAAGTTTATTGTGAAAATCTGTGATAGGAAAATCTCTTCTGACTGGTGACCTGCTTAGTATCACAGAAACCCAAGACTTTAATTTTTTTAAGTGTATAGAGTGAAGATGAGACATTTTTTTTAGTCTTGCTCTAATCTTTTGGAAGGAAAACATGTAGAAATGAGAAAAATTAATCTCACTTACATTAGAGGCAAGGAACGTAGAATATGTAGGAGTAAACTTAAAAGGTATGAAGAAAACTATAGAATACATGAAGAAAACTATAGAATTCTCAGCAATATAAAACAAACCTAGATCCAATTATATACCCTACATATGTTCTTGCTGTGTAACAGATTAACCCTAAATTTAACAACTTTAAAAAAAGAAGTTTGTTTATTTTTATTGGAAAGACAGGGAAGCGGGGAGGGTTTCATGGTATTCTTCACTCCTGCCAGAAACAATGGGGCCCAGAATCACACAGTGGGATCTTCCCAGATGCAAGGCAAGAATGGAAACAGTCACTGCATATTCAGCCCTGCACACTGAAAAGTGTGACAGAGACTCTGAAAGTGGAATGTTTTCCACTTGGGGGGTACAGGATGGCATTTCAAGTCACAGGGGGATTGATAGCTTATTTCATCAATGCTGTTAGCCCAGGCCGATTCTACAGCTCAAGCAAAAGTTGGGCTTCTTAGACCCTACGACAAATGAGTTCTGGCTTAGCAGAAAGAGAGCTAGTACAAGGTAGAGGTGGCAGACATCTGCTTAATGGAGTTGGAGCATCCAGGACATGTAACAGAAAGCCTAGAATTAACTGAATTCAGAAAATGGTTTCTCGCCTCTGCTAGTAACCCCAGAAACTGACTCTATGAGCTCTATCTTTTCAATAAAAATAAATCCTTAAATAATACAAAGTGCGTGGCGGGCTCAGTGGCATATCAAGCTAAGCCTCTGTTTGTGGTGCTGGCATCCTATACGGGTAGTGGTTCAACTCCTGGCTGCTGCGCTTCCACAATCCAGCTCTCTGATTATGGCCTAGGACAGTGGCAGAGAACGGCCCATATCCTTGGGCTCCTGCACACATGTGTCCAAAAAGAAACCTGGGAGAAGCTTCTGGCTCTGGCTTCTGACTGTCCAACTCTGGCAGTTGTGGCCGTTTGGGAAATGAATCGGTGCATGGAAGGTCCTTCTGCTTCTCTCTCACTAACTCTGCCTTTCCAGCAAAAATAAATCTTAAATTTCAACCTGTCTTAAAGCAAATTCACCCATAGTCTTGCAGTCCACATTTTATTTCCTATTAATTAAAAATGAAAATCTCCATAGCGTCTGCTGTAGAAAAATAGGTCAATTTAAAAATAGCTGTCCAGCTGTCCCTTGTCAGCTTTGGAGCAAAGCAGAATGCAGAGGGAACTGAATTTCAAAGATAGCATTGTTAAATTTCAAAATGTGCTAAGTTGGATATCTTGAGCGATCAAATCTGCTTTGTTGATGATTTCTGTGGAGGAGTTAAAAATATTTACTTTCATTTTATTTGAAAGGCAGAGAACCATAGAACTTGTATCTGTTGCTTGACTCCTCCCATGCCCCCCGAGCCAGGACTGAGCCAAGCTGAAGCAAGAGCTCGGAACTCAGTCTGCTCCCTGACCTGATGAGGAGGCACCATTGCCTGTCACCTCCCAGGGTGTACAGTCAGCAGGAAGCTGAATATGATCTGGAATTGCCAGAATCCAAACCAGGCACTCCATTCCAAGTGACGACTCAACTGCTGAGCCAAGCGCATACCCCCATGTTGGAGATGGAGTAGAAATTCAGAGCTGAAAGAAGGCTGGAACTCACGTAGCCCTACAATGCCTCTTTCCATTTTAAAATTATACACGTAACAGATTTCTGGGGCTGTCACGGTGGCTAATTCTCGGCTTACAAGCACCAGCATCACACATGGGCGCAGGTTTGTGTCCTGGCTGCTTCACTTTTGATCCTGTTCCATGCTTGTAGTCCGGGAAAGCAATAGAGGATGGTCCAGAGCCTTGGGGCCTTGCACCTGCATGGGAGATTTGGAGTAGTCTCTTGACTTTGGATTGGCTCAACTCAGGCCATTGTGCCATTTGGAGGCGTGACCTAGCAGACAGAACATCTTTCCCTCTCTGGTCTCTTTCCTCT